GCACTTGTGCCCAGGATGACTCGTTCAGATGTAAACCCAGCTGATTCTCCAAGTTACTGTACGGTCTCTGTGGTTCACACTGAATTTGAATTCCACTGGGCTCTGGAACCTAAAGCCCCTGTAAATACTTAGCAGTTTGGGGTGCTTACAAGTTATGAAAATGGAGATGTTGATATATATGCAATGAGGAACAGCAAGTAAAAAGTGTTCTTGTTTATAGTATGGTTCCATAATGAACGCTATCACATGTGCGGTTTATCTAATTGTTACATCTGCCTGTCAGATGGAGCTATAGAGAGAAAAGGAAATTGGAATAAATGTATGAATGCATTTTTAAAAAAATCAGACTTTGCTGTCTAATAATGTGTCTATGTAATAAGTACTGTCCAGGTTGCAAGCTGCATGGACTTTGGAGTCAGGATACTTGGCTACAAAGCCCGATGTTCCCACTTATTAGTGATGTTAATCTTACACAAGTTATTGTCCCTCCCTCAGCCTAGTTTTCTCATGGGCAAAATGGGGGTCATGTCATGCTTTCCCAACAGGCCTGTTGGGAGAATTAAATAAAACAATCCAAGCAAAGAGGCTAGGGCAGGGTCTGGCATATAGTGATGTTCAGAAAATAGCTATCATTATTTCCGTGTAGCAGCTCCTTTATTTGTTTGTTTCCAGGATGACAAAGGAGTAGTTCGGTGGCTTCTCCACCTCCAGTCCTGACCAGATGAATTTATCATGTGACAAAATTTTTCCAAATCAGCAGTTCATGATGACATTTAGGCAAAGGCAATCCTTGGGCTATATCCAACTTGTAGGCTGACTGGCAAGTGAAGAAACATTAGTCGTGTGGCTGGTTTAGGCAGCAGCTATAGATGGGCAGACTGCTAACCCACCCTCGCAGCAGTGTTTATGACACTAGAGAGCAAGCTGAGTTTTGTACCAAACCCTTTCCCCCAGTGGCATGTGGACTCGGAGCATGGCAGGGACCTGCACCACACGCGTGTGGCTGAGCTTAAGTGAGTGCTTGTCTAAGCACACAGGAGACCAGGGGTTCTCAGTCCTCTCTGGAAAGGTATGAGGTAAGGATGGAGGAAGAAAAGGGAATTAGCAGAGCAAGGTGCTGGGTTGCATTTCTGATCCCCCCAGGAAGGAAGGCATTTTTAGGTTAAGGAAGGAAGGCAGATTGTAGGTAAGAAAAGTACATTCCAAAGACATCAGAGGCTTCTCCCAGATTGCACAGCTGGTCAATCCCACAAGAATCCTGCTGTTCATCTCACCACCTGTGACATGGGAGCTCATGAAGGGAGCTGGGTTGTGAGAGCAACTGGGGTCAGAAAAGGGTTATAGAACTTCAAGAACAGAGACATGTTGGGGGATCTGAAGAGACTGCTTGTGTTCAGAGAAGAGGAACGTGTTGTGCAAAGGAATTCTGTGGCTAGATGCATAGACCCTGAGAGAGAGCACTGGGGCAAGACCCTGTGGAGGAGTCTGGGGGCAAAGGAGCTGGAGGCGATACTGAGCTTTGGACTGGGGTGGCTGTGGGAGGGGTCGCAAGGAAGAACAACTGTCAAGGAAAGTCGAGAGTGGATCAAGGGCCTCAGTCACATGAGCCCCATATACCCTGGGGCCTGAGGCCACATGCATCCCTTTAAACAGAGCTAAAGTGAGGGGAGAACTGTGGGGCCATATACCTGTACCTGACCTATTGGATGTAAAGTTTGGACCCCTAGATTTCCTCAAATGTTGGTAAATCAATGTGCATTCCAGTGGGCTGTGGGTGTACATCCTCTGTGATAAAAAGGTAAAAGGCCCTAAACCTCAGAAATCCAGACACTCAACAAGAAATTGCTTTCTCTCTCCTATCTGTGGCCAGTGAATCAGGAAAGGCATCCATGGCCTTGGGGAGTCTGTTTATGGGGCTGCTCCAGGCATTGACTTTGACACTGATCATCTAAAATGTCTAGATTAATTTGCTATTTCCTAATGCTTTTCTTAATTTTTTTCTTTATAAATGTGGCTATATAAATTATTTTAATCAGTTATGTAAGTGCCAAATCATGTGAAAAGTGTACATGCACATAACGTAGATATGTGAGTAACATTTCAAACCCAGTAAATTGATTTTATGATTCAAGATTTGAAAAACATTGATCCTACCATGATTTTCCTTGCCTGGAAAGGTGGACCTTGTGGAATATTGAATAGGGTAAGGAGAGGATGGGGTGAGGTTCTATCTGGACTTAGAACCATGGCAAGACGTGGTAAGTGCCACGAAGTGCTAGAAATGTGTTGTTACTATTATTAGCATCACCACCACCTTTGTGGTTGTTGTTTGCTCTGCTGAACTCTGCAGAATAATTTAGGAAAGTTCCTTCTGCCTGTATGCAGACAGACACTTCTCTGTCTCTAACTAATGACCAATTCAATATGGATATAGATTTGAGATATTTACTTCTCAACATCTGTGCTATTTTTACCCAGATCCATTCATTCTCTCTCCCCTGATGTCCCCAAGTGATCAACCAG